TTTTGGTACCTGGGATCAAACTCTGGTCCTTGCACCGAACTGCTGAGCTAAATCCCCTGGCATGGATCTTATACATACACAGATTTTCTGTCTGTCTCTGTTTCTCTGCCATTTTTACCAAACTTTCAAAAGACACACACAGTCAGATTGAACCTGTTCAATAGTGCAAATCTGCCAGAAGAAAAAATTCTCCCTGAAAGGGCACATCAGTTTGCAGTTAGATTAGATCAAATATCAGTTTACTTCAGACATTTACCTTTAGGCAGAGGTGTGTCACTTCTTGTATTAAAGGGATTCGGCCCCCAGGCTGTTGTTTCCTTTCTCTTGGCAGCCTCCTTTGAGAGGCTTCCTGTGGAGGGGGGCGGGTTACCTTGAGTCTCCTGATTGTGGCCCAGTGCTAGGAACTGCTGTGCCCGACTGGAAGTGTCTAGGTTGTAACCTCAAGTATCAGGACTTTGTGGCTTTATTTTTAAGTACAAAGATCCACTCTGGACAGGGGTGGGTTTGGGCTAGAGGGGTATCAGTTTGAAAAATGACTAAATGTTTTACATGTCTCCATTGGGTCTCACTCTAGGTGTCACCTCTTGATCTTTATGGTCTTCATGGTCTCTGTCCATGCAGGAGGGTCCTCGGGCATGGGGAGCAGCTCTAAGCAAGTGGGCATGGAACCTCCAAATTCTGAGGATTGACTGTCCCACTGAGCAAGTGTACTTGAGCCTTGCACCAGAGGTGGTTACGGCTCACGATTACAGAACAGCAGGAGGAAGTCGCTTGTCATCAGGGTGGTGGGGGCTGTGCTGGACTGATGGTTTTCTGGCATTCGCTAAGCTTCTCCTTGCCCCCATTTGCCTACAGAGCTCTCTCGCGGAAACCCTGGACAGCACTGGCAGTCTAGACCCCCAACGGTCAGACATGATCTATACCATAGAAGATGTTCCTCCCTGGTACCTGTGCATATTTCTGGGGCTGCAGGTAAGATGCTTCCTGTAGGATGTGTAACTACTGGCAAAGCTTGAATTGTCTACCATCTGAATTTTTAGGAAATTCAAGTTTGGTTTTTATTTATTAAAAATTTTATTACAAAACCACTCTTAAAAATAATGAGTGGGTTGGGCACAGTGGCATACACCTATGATTCCATCACTCGGGAGGCTGAGGTAGGAGGATTGCCTGGGCTACATAGTGAGTTCAAGGCCAGCCTCAACAGTGAGACCTTGTTTCAGAAAACAAAACAAAACAAAAGAATAATGAATATGAATTTTTAGCATCAATTTCCTAACGGAAGAAAGCTAGGAAAAGAAAGAAAGAAAAATGTTCAGAAAACAAGCAAGAGAAATGACATGAAAGGAGGAAAGAAGATAGTACAAATAGAAAAAAAAAGATTAGAGGAAGCAGAAGAGTAAAAAGGAGGCCTGGGGATTTAGCTCAGTGGTGCCACTGCCTGCCTTGCAAGTGTAAAGTCCTGAGTTTGATCCCTGGTACCAAAAAAAAAAAGTAAAAAGAAATAAATTTTCATGTCCTATCCCTGCCCACATCAACTAGGCCACATCCAGGGTAAGCTCTGCCATAAAACATGGGTGACCTCGTAGTATCTGGGATGGAGAGGAAGCTCTTACTTACCTTTTTCTTTCTCTTTATTTATTTATTTATTTATTTTTTTTGGTACCAGGACTCAGGACCTTGTGCTTGTGAGGCAGGCGCAGCACCACTGAGCTAAATCTCTGGCTCAGGTCTTTTGAAGGAAGGAAAACCTTGTTATGATAGTGGCCACTTCATCTTCTGTAGCTTCTACTGGAAGGGGCATGCAGATGAGCCAGGGGTCACGGTGGAGATGACACAAGCCAGCAGCTGCCTCTTGTGTCCCCTAAGATTTTCCCTCCTGTCTCTTTAGCCCCCCTTCCCCGCTTACAGGATTATAAGTGGCTCTTTGGAAAAGGGTGACAAGTAATTACGGAGGCTCTTTCTCCCTCTTCCTTCCCTCCCCCCTTTCTTTGTCTTTTCTTTCTCTTTCTTTATTATCAGCCAAAGGTACTCAGATGAGATGGTCAGTTGTTCTCCTAAGGCTAACTTACTGCCTTTCTGTGACAGCAGGGCCGTAGCAGAAGGGGGCCACCCCAGGGCCATAGAGTCTTAACTGTTTTGACAGGTATGTCACCAGGTGATGCCAGGATCTCAAGACCTGAGTTAAGACTCTTAATGGCTATTTTTGTTTGTTTGTTTTTGTTTGTTTGTTTATGTTCCTATGGGAAGAAAGGCTTGGTTTTATCTGCAGTCCTAAGGTCTGGGGCCGGAGTTAAGGCTTCCTTGTTTTGTTTAAATGTTTCCTCTTGGTCACCTTCTCAAAGGAGGGGCTTCTCTTCCCCCACTTGTAGCTTGCTTTAGGGGCTTAGCTCTTAGCTTTGGAATTTTTATTATCATCTCTGTCATCATTTTCTGGGCACTCATCTTTTCAGTGTCCATATTTCTTATATCACACGCATTGATCCCAATCTAGCTTTGGTCCGTTGGCAGATCTCAGCTTGATTCGGCTCCAGTTTTATTTGTACCTGTGTCTTTGCCCCTTAGTGATCTCTGTGTTTTTGTTGTTGTTAAGCCTCTCCATAAGGCCAATTCACCTCTCTCTTTTTTTTTAGGCATGGCTTAGGCTATAAGTGTCTTGTAATAGGCCTCTAAGCAGGGATATGTCCAGGCCAGTCAAGTCTGAACTATATTTAACTAGGAGTCAATGTAGGGAAACTGATTTGTTTGTCATAGCTGTCCCTTTTTGCTGGTTATCACCCTGTGTACACTCCTAATTGTTACCCTATCAGTGGCTTTTTTGACTGGCCACCCTATATCAAAGGAGGGCCAATCCACTTTACAAAGAGTTTTTAAATCTCCGAGGGGGTCACCTTTATTTTACAGTTCTCCAAATAGCCTCTTTTGAAGTTTTTATTTGTTTGTTTGTTTGTTTGTTTTTTGGTACCCGGGATTGAACTCGGGTCCTTGTGCTTGCAAGGCAAGCCCTGGCCTCTTGAAGTTTTTAAACATACATCTTTTTTGTTTTTGGTACTGAGGATTGAATTTAGGAACTTGAGTTTGTGAGGCAGGCACAGTGCCACTGAGCTACATCCTCAGCCTTTAACATACATCTTTTTTCTTTTTGGGGGGGTACTGGGGATCGAACTCAGGTCCTTGTGATTGCAAGACAGACACTGAACCACTGAGCTAAATCCCTGACCCTTAACACATATCTTAATGGGGTAGGTTTTGACACTTTTCTTCCTATATCCTGTCATAATGCAAATCACTTTCTCAAGTACTTTTGCTTTAGCAGTGGTCTGATCTTCATCAAGTCTTTTGAGCCACAAGGAGCTTTTGGAAGGAACATCGTGGGCTTTCACCAAACCAACACACAAACATATATTTTCTTTGATAAATCACTTCTGCATGCTTTCTTGACATACATAAGCTTTTTAGTCTTGCCATTATCTTTCCTAAACTTTTTAACAGGACAAAACTTTTATCACATAAAATCCTCATATCAAAGGTCTATATCTCTTATATTTAAAACCTTCCTTTTTTTTTTCTTTCTTGGTACCAGGAATCAAACTCTGGTCCTTGCTCTTATAAGGCAGGTGCCTGAACCACTGAGCTAAATCCTTGGCTATTTATAGCCTTAATATTTTTTTTCTGTTTCATTTGTTACAAACCTGTAACAAACTTGGCTGTAGTCACTTGCTTGGACTTTAAAGTATATTTTTCTGCCTTTTTTTCTTTGTTTTTAGATTTAAATTTGACTGGCTGCCCACAGACAAAGTAACTTTGAATTAGTGTTTTTATCTTTATAACAGAGTAGAGAGAAGTTAACCCTATAATTGTAATAAAAAGATTTGCAAGGCACAAGAAGTGTTTTAAGCACACCAATTAAACATCAACTCAAATTGGAAACCAAAAGTACATTTATCAGTTTGCTAAAATTTGTTACTTGATTCCTCCTGTAAGACCTCCTTAGGTCTAGCAGAATGTAGTTGCAGTTTTTCAGCTTTGACCATGGAGCCCCAGGCTGGGGTTGTTTTGTCTTTTAGACACGTGCAGGCAGTGTCAGGGCTAGTGATGCTGAGCAGGTGCTGGCCTTGTAGCTCTTAGAGCTGGGAGTGTTCTTCTTAATGTTTTGCTCCACATTCTCTGGTGTTTTCCCAACTGGTTTCATTTCATTTATTTACATGCAATCATATATTTTCCCATTCCAGTTTTTTTTTCCAACCTGGGTATGAGTTTTAACCAGGCTCCCTGTGTCTGATTTCCTGGCATACCCGCTTTGTGAGTCACTCTTGTTGTGGCGCTGTCTTACCAGCTGTTTGAGTTCACCTGTGAGCCACTCCTGCTTTCAGGCTGCTTCCAAGTTCCACTGGAGTTGTAGGCTTCCTCTGACTCCCCCGGAGCTGGAGTACTTGTTACACCCTGGGAGGTTATCAGTCTCCCCTACAGACCTAACTGGAAGAGTTTCTCCCTGGGCTCCTAAACCTTGGTCCTGTAGCATGCTGTTCTGGAATTGTCCTGAATCCCAATAGGCTCTGTTATGCTGGCAGGAGTGGGTTCCAGGCTGTGGGAGGGCAGACTCCCTCTCAGAGCTGAAGTCTCACCTGGTGATACCAGAGGTCTCAGGATTCCTGAAGCACGGGCACCCCTCAGGCCTGCAGGTAAAGGAGACAGCAACTCTGCTGTTTCCAGTCCCATTGTGGTTGCCAGAAATGTAGAATTCTAAGAGACAGGAGAGACCAGTGGGAATCAGGATTATTTTAAGTTGTACACCAGCTCAATGGACTGCAGTCCAAAGAAAGAGCATTGACCAAAGAAAAAGTCTAGCTTTTATGTATTTGATCGAAGTGTGGGGGGTGGTCTTTGTAGTGACGAAGCAAGTGAGTTTATTGGAGCAAGGCAAGGGCAGATAGCTTTGTAATGGAGCCTTGTAAGAGGACAGTGTCTTATGAATCATGAGAACCATGTCGTAAACTTTGCTTGCAAGACATAGTTGTCATTTTTATCTGTACCAGAATAAAGAGTTACAGCTACAGAAGAAGATAATCTAGGAGAGAAAACCTGAGAAAGACATGTTTTCCTTTAAATCTGGCTTCAGTACTCTATTATAAATAGCATACTTTATTTAGTCATCTGTTGTTGGGCAGGCGTAGAGGCTGCTTCCAAGGTTTAGCTGTAATAAGTTGTGCTTCTGTGTACATGGCTATGCATGTACCACTGTGATGTTTTTAGCTCTTTCAGGAAGACAACTAGAAGGGGAATGGCTGGGTCGAATGGAATTCTAGTTTTAGTTTTTTGAGGCATGCACAGGGAAAATGCTGTGTCTTTTCTCAGTGTTACCTCCTGGCTGCAGTTGCTTTGTGTTTTGGCCTGGACCCCTTTCCAAAGACTTTCCATGCTTCCTTTGTCAGGCTTTTGCAGTCAATTCACCCGAGATTTCTCAGATGCTGTGAAGATGGGTTTCAGGGCCCAGACATTTATTGGCTTGGAAGTGGGGCTGGGCCTGCTGCCCAACGGTGCTGTGACTGGGTTTGCAGAGCTCGGGCAGCCTGGCTGGAGCATGTGCAGTGAAGGAGGAGTCAGAGCCAAAGGAGCTGTTTGCTCTGGCCAAACAAGTTAACCCTGGCCAACAGTCCCAGAATAGGTGCCAGAAAATGCTTTTTTAAAAGGCTTTCTACTATAGATGTTCCTGGAAATCTCCCTTAGTCAAATAGGAAAGCCCACCTGCATTCTGCTCCTGTGGCACATGCAGGAGCACACACACTTGTGCATGCTCTGAGCAGCCATGTCTGTGCCCAGAAGCACCAGTGCTGCGGGGCTCTGTGGGCTGCAGGCAGTGAGCATGAGAAATGTGGGCAGGATTGGAAGAAAAGCAGGATGTTCGCAGAACAGAAATAACACCAGACACCCGGGGATGAAAGGGAAGCTCTGACAGGGCCCCCAAAGAGCTGAACACGGTTTCTCCTGAGCAACTCCTGCAGTCACTGTGCCCTTGAACCTGACCTGACTGAAACAGATAATACCTGTATTTGCTAAATATTGCAAGACCACAGAAAAAGATGGAAAACACTATACACACAAACAGAAAAGCCATGGAGTAACTATTCAACAGATATAGCTGTAAAACACTAGTAAATCAGAAATACAGTATGAATAACTTGGCTTTGTTTCAAGAATGTATGAGTAGTTGCACATGTTAACAGGACAGAGAAGAAATGGCCCTGTGGATGCCACAGGAAGCTTTGGAGACGGTTAGGATGTGGTCAGGGAAAGCATGAGGCCTCACTCTTTCCCGCTCCATCTCTCCTCCTGCCTGTAGCACTATCTGACCTGCTTCAGCGGCACTATCGCAGTGCCCTTTCTGCTGGCCGATGCCATGTGTGTGGGGTATGACCAGTGGGCCACAAGCCAGCTCATCGGGACCATTTTCTTCTGCGTGGGAATTACAACTTTGCTGCAGACCACGTTTGGATGCAGGTGAGACTTGGTTGCTGAGTGGATGCTGACACGCCATAAGGCTGCATCTCAGAAGGACTGGCTGGAGTGGGGATGTCCTGGTGGCCATTAGTGCCCTCTCCACCCCACAGAGCTACCACCGTGTTTCTTTTCTTGGTGAAGGGCAACACCCACTCTCAGTTGTACAAGCTGAAAACTCAGCTTCTCTCTGTTCTCTCTGCCCTGGCTGGTCTTCCTTTACCCCTCCTGGGCTGTCCCACCCAGGTCCCCAGCAGTCTCCCTGCCTCCGGGGCTCCTCCCTGACCCACACAGGCCCATCCTGTTACCCGTATCTTTCTGGGCTGGTCAGGCTGTAGCTCTAGTCTTTGTTCAAACTGAGATGTGCCCAGTGTCTGGCATGTCCCTTGCTCTCTTCCCCTCTGTACCTCCAGTTGCATTGCTGAGCTGGGTTCCCATTGCCCTGCATGTCCTGCCGCCTCAGCCTCCATTGAGCACCCACCTCACATCCTCAGTCCCGACTTGTCCTTCTTCCTCGGACATGTGCCTGGCTCCCCGGAAGCTCCTGCTAACTGAATCCCCACTTGTGCATCTTAGTTTGTTCTTCAACTGTACCTTTTGCTTCCACGTAACCTTTTCTGGTTTTGTGTCTTTTTCTCTGCTGACTGGGGCGTTCTCCTTCATGCCAGGGCTCTGAGTTGTTCACCTGTGCGTCCCAATGAGAGAGGAGGAGCCCAGGAAGGTCTGGGGTGTCCTGGGGTTCCCCCCCGCCCTCCCTTGAGCTTGCTTTCTCCTCTGGTCCTGGCTTCTGCCCTTTTCTTGTCCTGCAGCTGTGATGGGGTGGGGCAGGGACCGCTCTGGCAGTGCTGTCTTAGTGTGAGTTACTGTTCTGTCTCTTGCTTATCAGAGACAGTTTGAGCCCAGGCTTCAGCATCCTTGCTGGGAAGTGGCAGTGAGAGAAACACAGCTCTGAAGGCAGCCTGGGAGCCCTGGCCTCCATTGTCATCAGCCAAAATCTACCCTCGTTGGGCGGCAGTGACTGGTGCTAGGGTTCTCCACTTGGAAGTATAGACAGTGTTCCAGGAGGGTCTCCTACAGCCCCTCCACTTGTCAGTGATGAAAGAAGCTGGATGTGCTGGAGACCACAGGGCTGGAAAGTCCTTAGGCTTCTCAGGCCCCAGCCCCACTAGACCACTGACAGCCACCGTGCTGAGTGGAGGGGCAGGTGTCCTGAGGACTAAGGAGAGGGGCAGGGCTGTCATCTGCCTGCCAGGGAGGGATGAGGTCCAAACCTTCCCTGGAGCACTCAAACCAGGCAGCTAAACATGATGGTAGCATCCGTTGTGTTTTTGCACTACATTCAAGACTCTCTGTTGCAAGTCCAGCTTGAGTGAAAAAGCATTAGGTGGACTCAGGAGCTTTACTTTGTACCCAGGGCACTGACCTCTGGGGAGGTGGTTCCTTCTTTAAACAGCTGGTTTCCCAGTGAACCTGGAGGTCACTCCATTTGTAAGTGCAAGCAGTGCCTGTAGTTGGGAATGGTTGGCTGACCTGAAAAGAGGTTGGAGTTGTCTCGGCTATAGAGATGTCTGCCCCATGTGCAGTTGCACCCGACACTGCCAAGGTACCCACCCACAGCTAAGTCTAGGGGACAGAGTTGTGTAATGTAACATAGCAGAGGGACCTGGGAGGTCCCTGAGTGAGTCCTTTTGGTTCTGGTAGGGCAGCCTCTTGCCCATTGTCAGGGCACAAGACCCAAATAAACTGACCAGGGTATGCAGCTTTGCCTCCCTTTTCCTCTGAAAGGACAGTGGGCCAACCAAGAACAGGTGAAGGAGTTGACAACCGACCTGGATGATTTGGGGACCAGAAATGTGGAGCTTGAGAGTGGAGTAGTGTACTCTGTGTGCCCACAAGGCGTGACCAAGAGCAGCAGGTCCCCTAGCCTCCATTTGTACTGTGCAGCTGTGTGCTTGGCTGTGCGCCAGGAGGTGGGTGTCCATCTCCTAACCATGACCTTGTGTACACACAGGAGGGCATCCCCAGGTGCTCTCTTGAGGTGCTGGTCTGGGGACGTGGAATTTCTGTGGCCGTTGGGCAGTCCATACTCTTGACCTGGGAAAAGAGAAATAATTCTGACTCGGTGCCATAGAGAGCATGTCTGTCTGTGCAGCACGTGGCAAGCAGAAGTGAAAGTGTGTATGTGATGATGTACACCGCCACGGTGTGACGGTGCAGCACTCTCAGGAAAGCAGTGCGTCCTGCCAGGGGCTGCCGGGTCATGAGCGCCTGGTGGCAGAGACAGGCCCTGAAGACTCAGTGGGTGCTCAACCGGAGAGGGATGAAGGAGCATTTTCCTGCCTGGCATAGCAGCGGGAAGTGACATCATGGGGTGAGATTTGTACATTGGACAGACGGGGGCCGGGACTTGGCAGGGCACAGGGAGCCAGTGGTGACTTCCTAGCAGGAACCTAGTAGCTGAACCTGTGCCTCCAATGGCTTTGGTTTCGGCAGTGGCAGAGGAGAAGTGATGGGATCCAGCTACTCAGCTTTGAGATGTGGGCAGGTGACCTCTCCACCTCTGCCTGAGGGGTCCTGTGGGTGACATTTTGCCATTCCTTTAACAATCTCTTGTATTATAATTATAAGCTTCCCCAAATAGCTTAGGAGATTGTGTGGTGTCACTAAACATTTGTTTGGTCCACTAAATGCATGTAACATGGTCTATCATAAGCTGTGAATTTTAACATGTTTGTGTATTTATTTTTTGTTGAAAACAGGATCAAGTAAAAAAGTGAGGGATACAAGGGTGACCCCCTGTAGAAAGAAAGGGCAGGGGGAGCCAAGCTGGGGTTCATTCCCAGTGCCCCAGCTGAGTTTTAACAGGTCAACTGTGTGGGTTTGCTGGGGTTCCTCAGGCGGAGAGCAGCAGAAGGAAAAGTTTCATGTTCAGCTTTCATGATTTCAAGGCAGGTTCACAGACCTTTCCAAATGACACAGCTCCTGCTGCGAGTAAGTTCTGTATGTTTGTATATCTGCCTGCTGCTTGCTGTCACTCACACTCATTGCACTGGGTATCATGGGGATGTTGGCCCGAGGCCTGATTGTGGCTCCTCTTCTGAGGGGTGGTGGGCCCTTTATCCTGAGAACTCTGGAGCCAGGAGGAACAGAGTGCTGGGCCAGGTCTTCCTGTCAGAAAGGCTCTGGGCTGGCCTTGAAACTTGGGGCATAAAAGCAGCCAGAACTGATAGGGAAACTGCAGTGGTGACACAGATGTGTGGCTTTGCAGACTTCACCCTGAGCATAGGGGACCAACTTTGAGATGCCAGAGCACAGTTGATCCTCTGGGCTCAAGGCTGCAACCGCCCTTCATTTCCCCGCTGCCTATGTCCCCTTTGCTCCAGAGACTGTTATCTTTTTTTTAATCAGAGCTCATGAACCTCAGTACCACTTATGGAACTTGTGTGGCTTGGTCACTTCCCAAAGCCTCTATCTGCTGAGATTTGGGCCATTTGGGGGCAGCTGTTCCCCCTACCTCCCCACTCCCACCTGGCTTTGCCTTTGACCTTGATTCCTCGCACTTTGCCTTGAGTGTCTTCATTACTGAGCTCCCCAGAGTGAAGTTGGAAGGGTTGGCCTCATTCCAATTGATATGTGTTGTCCCTTCCAGCAGCCTTTTGGCTCGTTCTGGGAATTAGTATAAAGTCTTTAAAATCCTTTGGAGTCAGGGCAGGGTTGTTCAGAGTTGCCCTTGCCCAGACTTCGTCATCCCAAAGCAGTCCTGCACAGGGCCCCAGCCTCCCAGAGGGACCTCCCCTGCCAACCCAGGCTTGCCAGTCATGCAGCACAGGGAGGGCTTTGGCCAAGGAGAAGCCTGCCCCTTCTTTAATCTTACAGGTTTGTGGGGCCTGTTGGGCCCTTCCCATGTAGACTGCTCATGGAGACAAGGGTATTTCAAGGCTCCAAATTTGGAGGCTTTGAGCTCATGACTATTGATGAAACTTAAAAGAATGGAGAGACGCAGTGAATAGATTCTCCTTCCATACATGTTTCTGTGTGGGGTCCGTATGTTATTGTTAGTATTTTTAGTGTGATGGCTCATCTCACACACTCCCCTAGGAATGAGGGCCACCTGCATAACCAGGAGCCTGTTGCTCACATCCCAGAAAGTGAAGGTCATTCTGCCATAGCTTCTCCTGCACAGTCCACACTTAACTTTCCCACCTGTCCTGAAAGTACCTTGACAGCTGTCTTATTGGGCTCCCCAGAACAGCATTGAGTCAGGCTCTCAGTAGTCACAGGGTCCCACCATCTTCCTCCTCACTCATCATTTTGAAGAGCCTGGTCGTCAGAGTGTCCCATGCTCTGGATTTGTCTGAGTGAGTCTTCATGGTATTTAATTTGTTCTGTAATTTCCCTTATTTGTTGGAACCTAAAAAGGGAGTCAGAGGTATGGATGATTCAGGGTGAACATTTTTACCAAAGTCCCTCACTAGCAGGTTGTTGGGTTTTTTCCATCAAATAAAAAATTTACAAGCTACTTCACTTAGAAAGAGTTTTAAGTAGTACATTACAATGAGAAGTCAGGGAGCTCCTGGAGAGAATGGCTTTGGAAAACCTCGCTGCGCTGGCCAGACACATCAGGGCTTTGGGCTCTGGTCTGCCTTACAGCCCTGGGACTTTGACAAGCTGCCTGGTCCCGCGAAGCCTTGTTCCCACTATTGTAAAATGACGAAGGTGTTAGCATCAGTGCGCCCTGTGCACTGTTGGTGCCCTCCAGAAGGGAAGGAGGCAGATGAGGCAGAGGGCTTGCAACCTTGGCAGGAAGTGGGCATGGGCTGTGGCCACCCTGCTGGCACCCTAACCAGGATAGGCCTTTCTCTGACCCCAGAACCTGTCACAGAGTCCATCCGAAACTGATAGCGGCATTGGATGCAGCTCCTGCTGAGGCTCAGGCAACTCCTGGGTCAGCCACCTGTTCTCTAGGGCCGGGTGCTGGGCTCCGCAAGGTGGTTCTGCACACT